CTTACACTCTAATGTCCCCTCCCCCACAGTCACACACTATTCATATATAGCTCTGACATATACCGCAGTGTTGCTCGGCATTACCTGAAATGAGGGAGGATTTTGGCGAAGCCGATGACTCCCTCAATCATATAGGTGACGAGGTCGGAGATGTGAGGTAACATGGAGAAGACGCCGGATCCGGTATCCTGAGAGAAGTCTGTGGGGTCCACTTGCCGTCTGACTGGCTGGGAGAGAGAACATTTGTGACGTCATAAATGGGACCCTAACCCCCTTACTTCCTGTTCTGGTGACAACCGTAAAGCTGTGGATTCCCATCACTTCCTGTCTCAGTGATTGTTACATTGCGACTGGTTTGGTAACAAAGGGACGGAGATTGCCGAGGTTCCTGATCCAGAGCCGTCATCCTCATCCTGCTGACCTGGAACAAACATGGAGGACAAGTTCTGACATTCCGGACTCCGCGGCTTGTTCCAGGTCGGCGGGTGACAACGCAGCGAGAGTCCAGGAGGAGGATGACAGCCCCGGAACCGGTACAGGAAATAAGTCAGCGTTCCCACCCTCCCCTTCTATCGCCATCACATGACCCCAGGCAGCGCGTACCCGAAAATTGTTGAAAAAGACGAAGTCGGAGTCGAAGGTCTTCCTCTGCGCCTCGGCGAGCTGCTCGACCAGCGACCGCTGCTCCTCCGTCATGGTGGGGGTGGGGGACATGGCCGGCAAAGGCCCCAATCTCTGCTTCTCCTTAAGGAGCGTCCGCCGCAGCTTCACCGCCTCGTCCGACATGATCACTGCAAGGAAAATACGAGTGTGACAACGCCGAGACGCAAACAACTGGAGGAAATGTCACCATTGTGGGAGGGGCCGAGACGGAACTACTGGAGGAAATGTCACCGTTGTGGGAGGGGCAGAGACACAAACAACTAGAGGAAATCTCACCATTGTGGGAGGGGCAGAGACACAAACTACTGGAGGAAATCTCACCATTGTGGGAGGGGCAGAGACACAAACTACTGGAGGAAATCTCACCATTGTGGGAGGGGCCGAGACGGAACTACTGGGACAAATCTCACCATTGTGGGAGGGACAGAGACACAAACTACTGGGAGAAATCTCACCATTGTGGGAGGGGCAGAGACACAAACTACTGGAGGAAATCTCACTATTGTGGGAGGGGCAGAGACCCAAACTACTGGGGGAAATCTCACCATTGTGGGAGGGGCAGAGACACAAACTA